TCTAGCCGCTCAGTAATGTGTTCACGACTGAAAGAGAAAGTTTTCAAACTAACGTCCAGACAGAGCTGATATAACTCCAGCGAGCAGCGACACGCTCAAACCAGCATGACTCTGTGGCTGCTGTAGTTGTTATTTTTCCTCCCCGACACACAACAACACGGTCAAGCTGCTCAGACATGTTCAGCAGTACAAACCTATGTGAGCACCTGTTGTCATCTAATGTTGTCATTATTATGATGAAGATGAACAAAACAACAGGAGTCTCCTCCTCAGCTCAGATCAACCCCATGATGCAGGTATCTGGCAGGAACAGGTGAGCATCACAGTAAACCAGTGGAGCAAACTGAGCTTTAAATATGTTGGTTTTATGCTCTTTTTCTGCTCCAAAACATGAAAGTTAACAGGTGAGATGTTGCATTTTCATTTAAGATAAAATTATATTTTTATTTTGTTGTTGGCCCGTGAGAAAAGATTTAACCTACAGTAAACAGGAAGTGGAAAGGCTGAAGATAGATGAATAGAATAGAAAATCCCTTTATTGTTCCTCAGTGGGGAAAGCTAGACGTCACAGCAGCGATGACACGTATTACAGGAGAAAAAAGGAGAACAAAAATAAGAAAAATGAATAAACAAGAAAACATAAATCCTGAATAGATTTTAAAAATGCTGAATATACCACAAGTAATGAATACCACTGATGTGTTTTATTTAAAACTGACTTGCTCGTGTGTAATTTGGTTATTCCACATTCAGTGTTAATGCAGAAATAAGTTTGTTTCCAAATTTAAAGGTTCAAAATTGCATAAATGTTGATAAAGAAAATGTGCAAATTTACCGTCACTTTTTCAAAAAATATTAAGTTTGGCCCTCGACTCCGTCCCAGAGTTTCATTTCGGCCCCGTGTGAGTTTGAGTTTGACACCCCTGCCTTAGATTAAAGATGGCTGACAACACACTCAGAAATTTAGATAGCAACTCTCAAACTAAACTTTGACCAGGTAAAAAATCCAGTCACATTTCATGGCTGATTCGTGTTTAGTGTTCAATATTTTTTGGAAGTCAAATTTTACAAAGTTAGTAACCATAGTGATGTACCGCACCACTTATGAATTACTATACGAGGGGGGGGGGTTAATACTTCAGCTTGTCCAAAATGCTGCAGCTAGAGTTCTGATGAGAATTAAAAAGAGAGATCATATCTCTCCTGTCTTAGCTTCCCTATATTGGCTACCTGTTAAATTCAATTCAGAATAGATTTTAAGATCCTTCTTCTCACATATAAAGCTCTTAATAATCAAGCTCCATCATACATCAGTGATCTGATTGTTCCATATGTTCCTAACCGAGCACTTCGCTCTCAGACTGCAGGTCTACTGGTGGTTCCCAGATTATCTAAAATAGAATATTTACAAAGACATCACAATAGAACTGTAGACACATTATTGTGTGTGTTTGTGTGTGTGTGTGCGTGCGTGCGTGCGTGCGTGTGTGTGTGTGTGTGTGTGTGTGTGTGTGTGTGTGTGTGTGTGTGTGTGTGTGTGTCTGCTCTGTCTTCTCGATCCCCAGTGAGTCGTGGAGGATGACTGCTTATACTGAGCCAGGATTCTCTGGAGGTTTCTTCCTGTTAAAAGGGAGTTTTCCTCTCCACTGTCGCTGCATGCTTGCTTAGTATGAGGATTGCTGTATAGTCACTGACACTAGTCAGTGACTTGATGCAATTTGCTGGGTTCCTTATATAGGAAACATTTTTTCTGATTGGCTTAATAAACTGACCTGAATTGGAATGTTTATTATGTGAAGTGCCTTGAGACGACTCTTGTCGTGATTTGGCGCTTTATAAATAAACTTGAATTGAATTGAATAGTAACAAATAGAAATTACTATTATGTCAATTCATGGAAATGTTGAATTTGAATGTTCACCAAGGACGTATTATTTAATCTGATTATTATTTAGTGATATGAGACAGTATTTTCTGATTTGAAATTAGTTAAGAAAATCAGTATTGTGTAACCTTTAAAAACTTCATTACCCATGAGACCTAGCGTGTCTCATGGGTAATGTAGAGCTGTTGAGCTACAATACCACTAAATACGTGGTTTTCTATGTGGACAGATGGACTTAGTTTGTTAGCTTTGTTGACAGTGTGCACAAATGTGGACATGTCAATAAACATGCTATAACATGTAATTGCAAAATGTGATAATGAAATTGTAGTTTTCAATGATTTAGTTTGAAAACAATAGTTTACTACAGTACAAGCACTTATAGCATGTTTTATGAATAAATATCCATAGATTTGATTTGATTTCTCTCATGGTGTTTTCCAGAACATTATTCTCTCACAAGAGCAATGAAGTTACCAGGCCTAATTGGTGGAGACAACTCAGAGGTGGAAGATTTATCAGACATTGACTATCTTGTGGGGGATGCTGAATATCAACCCCTAGTGGTGAGTGTGGGGACAGATGGAGTTGAGCGTGTCAATAAATCAGTTACTACTGCATGAATGACAGTACAAAGACGTGGACACTGAGGATGCTAATTCACTTTACGGATCTGGCTTTAGCCAACAGCTGGCTACTGTACTGCAAAGACCTTACTGTATTTGGCACACCAAATATCAGTTACTTGAATTTGGCATGGAAGTGGCCATGACCTTGGCTCAGCATGCCAATGACAGCTCTGCCTTTTCAGTGCAGAAAGAAGACCCAGACTTGTTAGTCCAAGGGAAAAGGCGTCCAGTGCACCATGTCTCATTTCTCAGAAGGACTAATGCACATCTGCCGGAGGTGGCAAAAGTGAAGAATATAGTGCGCTCCATAGCACAACGCTGCTCAGGGAAAACTCCAGTGAACTGTGATACATGGAAGGTGGTCCTCTGCTTAGAGACAGATGGAAAATGACACACTGCTTTATTTTTCTTATCCATTATCTGCATGGGCTGCGCAGTGGCGCAGTGGTTAGAGCTGTTGCCTTGCAGCAAGTTCCTGGGTTTGCTTCCTGGCCTGGGATCTTTCTGCATGGAGTTTGCATGTTCTCCCTGCGCATGTGTGGGTTCTCTCCAGGTACTCTGGCCCAAAAACTTGACTGTTAGGTTGATTGGTCTGTCTAAATTGTCCTTAGGTGAGAGAGAGAGAGAGAGAGAGAGAGAGAGAGAGAGAGAGAGAGAGAGAGAGAGAGTGTGTGTGTGTGTGTGTGTGTGTGTGTGTGTGTGTGTGTGTGTGTGTGTGTGTGTGTGTGTGTGCGTGATTGTTTGTCCTGTGTGTCTCTGTGTTGCCCTGCGATGGACTGTCACTCTGTCCAGGGTGTACCCCGCCTGATTGCCCGCTGACTGCTGAAGATAGGCACCAGCCCCCCCCCCCCCCCCCCCCCCGCGACCCTACGTGGTCAAAGCAGGTTTGGACAATGGATGAATGGATTATCTGCATTATTTTTGTAAAATTATTGTATTAGTGCCTTGCTGTGTATTTTTTCCTCGTCTTTTATTTTTTTTTTTCCTTTGGAAATATTATGACCAAACTATGGAGATAAAAAGTATGTCTGACACAAATATCCACCAACAGGAAACCAAATCATGTGCTTGAAAGCAAAAATCCTAAATGAAAATCTTTAGCTTATTTTAAACAAGTGTAGAAATCATTTCAACCAACATTTTATGGTTATTTGAACTTTTATACAAATGTAGACCCATTGTTTGTTTGTTTCTTATTTATTGAAGAAAAAAACATAAATCTGGAGCAAATGGTTGTATTTATCTGGAGTAAATTGACATTAGCTCTTTTATTTGACCTAATCTAAGTTGGTCAGCAAGCTCCATATTAATAGTTTATACAGACCAAACACATTTTGATGTTTTTCTGTTGCTGATGCTTTTTGCACATGTCCACACCAAATGCATCAGTTATCTGTCCTGTCATTTTACCTTTTTTGGTTGAATAAAAAACCTAATTTCCTCCTGAGTTGTGGCTGATCTGACTTGATTGAGTCTATAATGAATGTGTTTGTAGCTCAGTTCATCTCTTTTATAAATACGTGATCTGCATTGTTTTTATATGATTGAGTTAAAAATCGTGTTTCGCTCCTTGAATGAAATACAGTCTTCAGAAACTGATGCAGAAAATAAAGCTGGTAAAATTTCAGGAAGCATTTTTTAAACAGTCAAAGAGACAGAGGAATACATTTCTAATGATCAAAAGTTGTCTGTAAACGTGTAATAACAAACACAACCAAAACCAAAAAGACTTCTTTCCCAACATTTAATATCCAGCATATTAAATGACAGCAGTCATAATGTATTGCTGATGAAACACTGAAGCCATGATGTGTGGAGGGACACCCAGAGTGTTATAAAACACAGTTTCAAGGCTTTGAAATCTGATATCATCTGGAAATAGGCAAAAACTTAAAGAAAGATCAACGTTTTAAATAACTTTATTTTCAAAGTTTGGGCCGTACACCGTGATTGAAGTCAGGACTGCGTGAAACGAAAGAGTGTGAAATGTTTTAGTTCAGATGATGAAACTTGTGGTTTTCGTTACATGAGCTGCTGATCCTGTTACGTTTGCCTATGTGAACATTTTAAATTGGTTTATCTTGGTTTGCATAGTTAATAATATGCTTATGCAGAGTAAGTAATTGGGAACAGAAAACATTCAGCGTGGCTCCAGTTTTGTATCATTTTACCCAAATATGTTTGCTATTTAGTTTTGTTGTTTTATTACTTTTATTAAGTTGCTTTTGAAGGTTTTTTGGTTTAAATGAAGTAGGTATTAAAGCAAACACACTGTTAACAAAAGTCTGAATCATGAGTAAGTGTTTAATGTGTTGGAGACTTCCGGATGTGCAGCATCAGCCTGCTGCTCCTGCTGTGCTGCTAATGAGGAGGAGGGATGGGTGTGTGAGCAGCTGCTGAGTCTTTTCACCACTTCATTAACACACTGATGCTCTGAACACTCCTGGGTAAGATATTCAAACAGGAGAAAATCAAGGACATTCGGATAATTTGAGTTATTTTTATTGTGCGAATATAAAGAATGGTACAAGTGGTACATTTCCTAAATTTACAGGATAAAACTCATCACTGACACATGACTGTATCCATAATAGTTCCAACTCTGAGGTTAATCTGCTTCATCCAGAAAACACCGCGTGGCATCTCCATAAATACTAAATATATAACAGAAAATTCTCCACAAATAATACTGACTGTACAGGAAATTACAGGAACACAAAAATACATTCTGACACTTTGTAGTGCACGTGGGAAAGAATAAAAAAGTAATTATTGAACTGTTGAGCTTATAATTTAGGTTTATAGTCTGTTTTAATTCGAACAAGAGCACTTGCAGTCCGTGATGACCGGGTACTGGACCGGGATCCAGGCGCACTTCAGCCCCCCTTTCCTCTGCACGCACCTCCACCTCAGCAGCGTCAGGTGGGTCGAGTTCGAAGGTTTACACAACATTCCTTCCGGGACGGAACACGACCTTTTGCTCAGACAGCTTCCCACCCGCACGTACCGCGGCCAGAACCGGGCCCCCAGGTCGGTCCAGCTGTACACAACCGGACAGAAGGTGTACGCCCACAGCCACTGCTGCAGCCGCCGCTTCAGCTTCTTACTGGGTTTGTGCTTCTTGCCGATCTGAACCTCAAAGTCCACCGCTCGGATTTCTTTGGGCATGATCCCGCCCGCCTTTGGGCCGTCCAAGTCCAGTTCATCGTTCCCCAGGTATTTGTCCTCCAAGGGCAGCGACACGGACAGATAGCGGAGGTCAACGTCTCCCAGGATGCTTCTGAGCTCGGTCTCGTTTAGGTCCCGCTCCTTGGGGTCAAAGGCAGGATCCGGGTCCTCTTTTAAATCCACAAGTGGCAGGCTGTCGCTCGGGATGGGCCGGAGGACGTAGAAGTGCTGACAGAACCCCCGGTGTACCAGGAGTCCCACGGACAGCAGCAGGAGATACACGCACTGATGAGAATGATCCATGTCCAGCGGGGTGGTCGGCGCGCGCGGAGCTGCTTCAAGGCCACTTCACTGTGCGCAATTACGCGCAAGCCGTTTCCAAACCAACCAGTCTTTTAGTTCTTCAAAATTCAGTTTTCCATTCTGAAAACCGGTCACGGTGGTAAAGCGGACCCCGGTAGCTTCAGACGGATCTCTGTTGAATGTCTGAGATCAGACGTGTCCCGGTGCCCAGCACGCTCCACATGATGCTCCGGTTGTCTCGTGCTGCTGAAAAGCTCCAAGAAGAACCCGGGAGCTCCGTTTTTATCCTCGGCACGCAGCGTGATGTCATCCGCGTGCCCCTCTTTCAATGTGGGTTTGTTGTCTAGAAGGAGATCCCCTACACCTCCTCCTTCCACTGCGATGGGGTGGGAGATGGGGGGAGTCGGGGGCAGAAGGAGACGCCCCCTGTTGGTTTTCCACACTACAATAAATCAGTCTTTCATTCTTCACGGCTACTGGTCCAGTTCTGCAGAATCCTGCTGGGAGTCTCTACAAAACCTCCAAAACCACAAACCCAGTCTGAAACTTTAGCTAACCCAGTAGAATTGGGAGACTTTGCACAAAACTCTTTAAGCAATAAACAGCCACAAAAGAAATCGGAGTTTAAGAAAATGTCCAAACATGCTTTTGATTCACTTTAACTATCTCATAATGAGGATGTATTGACATTATTTGAATCAAAATACATCAAATTCCTTTTTAAGAGGGTCTCCTGAAGTCACTGGTGCCCCCCAAGAAATTTCAGAGGCATAGATGGGGCCAGCAAAAACTTTGGGGTCGCTGTGGTACCTCTGGGAGAATGCTACCCCTGTCTGTGTGTGTTGCATTGCTTTTGCAATTATTTTTATTAAAAATCAAAAGACCTATGCACCCAACACATTTAATTCAAATTTGAGAAACATAGATAAGAAATACATTTCAGTCGTTTGTTTGAATAATTCTTTCAACATTTTTTATGTATTGGTTAAAAAGGATGAGTTTATGATTTACGCAAACATGAATATTATTTGAGAAAACAGGGGAGTATTCCCGGGGGGCAGTGGGGTGGCCAGCAATTTCTTGGAGGCGCTATTGCCAAATGCCAACCAACTCTTGCACCTTTAAAGCCATAAAAACACAAATAATCTGAACTATTTCTGTTTACTAAGTAGATTTTTTAGGAAACAGATCTATGTACCCTTTCCATTCAATTCATCCATCCATCCATTTTCAGCCGCTTGTCCAAAGTCAGGTTGCGGGGGCAGCAGCCTAAGCAGGGACAACTTCCCTCTCCCCAGCTACTTGGGCCAGCTCCTCCAGGGGAATCCCAAGGCGTTCCCTGGCCAGCTGAGAGACATTGTCTGTCCAACATGTTCTGGGTCGTGTTTTAGGTCTCCTCCCAATTGGACGTGCCCAGTAAACCTCACCAGGGAGGATTTGGAGAAGGCATCTGACTGTGTTCCTCGGGGGGGCCCTGTTGGGGGTATGCCAGGAGTATGGGGTACCAGACCCTCTGATACAGACTGTTAGTATAGAGCTGGTCCAGTGTTCCAAGGCCAGGACAAAAGACACATTGTTCCTCCTGAATCTGTTCTGATGGAACCTCTTTGCTATTATATACATATATGTATATATATATATATATATATATATATATATATATATATATATATATATATATATATATATATATATATATATATATATATATGTATATATATATATATATATATATATATATATACATATATATATATATATATATATATATATATATATATATATATATATATATATATATATATATATGTGTGTAAATATATATACTTATATGTATATATATATATACATATATATATATATATATATATATATATATATATATATATATATATACATATATATTTATACATACATCTACAGTATATCTATCTATCTATCTATCTATCTATCTATCTATCTATCTATCTATCTATCTATATATATATATATATATATATATATATATATATATATATATATATATATATATATATATATGACGCATAATGAGGGTCTGCTGGAAACGCCTGGCAGAAGAACCTGTCAAGATGGTCTTCAACTCCCACCTCCGGCAGAGCTTTGACAGAGTCCTGAGAGCAGTGGGGGACATTGACTCCTTGTTCCACTCTGCGATTGTTGAGGCGGTTGTTGCTAGCTGTGGTCGCAAGGTGGCCAGTGCCAGTCGTGGTGGCAACCCCCGTACCCGCTGGTGGACACCAGAGGTTTGGGGAGCCGTCAGGCTGAAGAAGGAGGCCTACAGGGCGTTGCTGGTCTGTGAGTCTCCGGAGGCAGCAGAAAGGTACCGGATAGCCAAGCGGGGTGCAGCAGTGGCAGTTGCCGAGGCAAAATCTCGGGCATGGGAGGAGTTTGGTGAGGCCATGGAGAAAGACTATTGATCAGCTCCAAAGAGGTTCTGGCAAACTGTCCGGCGCCTCAGGAGAGGAAGGCAGCAACTCGCTCACACTGTTTACAGTGGGGATGGGGAGCTGCTGACGTCAACTGGGGCTATAGTTGGACGGTGGAAGGAATACTTTGAGGAGCTCCTCAATCCCACCTACGCGCATTCCGAGGAGGAACCAGAGCCAGGAGACCTGGGGATGCACTGTCCAATCTCTGGGGCAGAAGTTGCTGAGATAGTCAAACAACTACACAGCGGCAGAGCCACTCCTCAGCCTCCCTGGAAAGGTCTACTCCAAGGTACTGGAGAGGAGGGTCCGATCGATAGTTGAATCTCAGATTGAGGAGGAGGAATGTGGTTTTCGTCCTGGCCGTGGAACTGTGGACCAGCTCTATACCCTTGCAAGGGTGATGGAGGGGGCATGGGAGTTTGCCCAACCAATCCACATGTATTTTGTGGATTTGGAGAAGGCTTATGACCGTGACCCCAGGAGCACCCTGTGGGGGACGCTCCAGGAGTATGGCGTGGGTGGCTTTCTGTTAAGGGCCATTCAGTCCCTTTTCTAGAGGAGAGTGAGTTTGGTCCGCATAGCCGGTAGTAAGTCGGACCTATTCCCAGTGAGGGTTGGACTCCGCCAGGGCTGCCCTTTGTCACCGGTTCTGTTCATTACCTTTATGGACAGAATTTCTAGGCGCAGCCGTGGGGTGGAGTGTGTCGAGTTTGGTGGCAGGAGAATCTCGTCTCTGCTTTTTGCGGATGATGTGGTCCTCCTAGCTTCATCCAGCTCTGACCTTCAGTTCTTGCTGGGTAGGTTCACGGCCGAGTGTGAAGCGGCTGGGATGAGGATCAGCACCTCCAAATCTGAGATCATGGTTCTCGATCGGAAAAGGGTGGCTTTCCAACTCCGGGTCGGGAGAGAGGTCCTACCTCAAGTGGAGGAGTTTAAGTATCTCGGGGTCTTGTTCACGAGTGAGGGTAGGAGGGATGGGGAGATCGACAGGCAGATTGGTTTGGCATCTTCAGTGATGTGGACGCTGAGCCGATCTGTCGTGGTGAAGAGGGAGCTGAGCCAGAAAGCCAGGCTCTCGATTTACCGGTCGATCTACGTCCCAATCCTTACCTATGGTCATGAGCTTTGGGTAATGACCAAAAGAACGAGATTGCGGATACAAGTGGCCAAAATGAGTTTCCTCCGTAGAGTGGCCGGGCTCAGCCTTAGAGATAGGGCGAGGAGCTTGGACATTTGGGAGGGACTCGGAGTAGAAATGCTGCTCTTCCGGATCGAAAGGAGTCAGTTGAGGTGGTTTGGGCAGCTGGTCACGATGCCTCCTGGACGCCTCCCTGGGGAGGTGTTTCGGGCATGTCCTGCCGGCAGGAGGCCCCCGGGTCGACCCAGGACATGTTGGAGAGGTTACATCTCCAATCTGGTCCGGGAACGCCTTGGGGTCCTGCCTGAGGAACTGGTGGAAGTGGCCGGGAAGAGGACGGTCTGGAGCTCCCTATCTGGGATGCTGCCCCCGTGACCCCGTGGGATAAGCGGAGGAAGACGACAACGACCATTTTCTAAATTCTTTTTTATATTTTTACATTTTTTGATTTTGTGAAGCACCTCGTGATTTTTATCTTGAGAGGCGCTATAGCAATTCTTCTTCTTCTTCTTCTTTTTCTTCTTCTTCTTCTTCTTCTTCTTCTTCTTCTTCTTCTTCTTCTTCTTCTTCTTCTTCTTCTTCCAAAACATTTTTGCTTCACACTAAGAATTTCCTCTCTTAGTATCTGGATGAAGGAGTGATTGACTGAGGTATTTTGGTAATGCATTTAATTTAGTCAAATTTTGATTTGTCTAAATTTGTTAACAGTAGCTAATAAAATTAGAAATCACTTCCTCAACTAACAAGTTCTTAGCCAGCTTACTCGGTTAGGCCAACCGGGTGAGCAAAGCACTTGGAACCATCGTCTCTTTTGACCTCAAGGTCAAAGCCTCTTTGCAATGCTTGCGAGTGGTATGAGATGCTGCATCTCCTCAGACGTGGAACGTCTGACTAACAGACCCTGGTAGCATCATGGCCGGTGATATCAGAATTCAAAGGGAGCGACTCTTTGAGATTCCAGGAGCCACTGCTCCAAACTGTCCAACTGATTTTACAACCCAGACATCACAAGACCTCTCAGATACTTAATAAGGTTTTGCTACAAAACATCTAAGCTTACATCCCATCATTTCATTCTGTTCTGTAATCGTGTCCAAACATCATTCATTATAATTTGTTCTGTGTCATCATTAGTTTAGAAATTTAGAATCAAAATTCATTTTTATAAACTATATTCTGACTCTGTCTGAATTAATGTGAAGTGTGTGTTCCCTGAAAAGTCCAAAGAGCCTAAGGGAATATTAAATCAAATATCCAAAGACCAATCAGATTGATAATTTATATTTCTATGGAATATCACATCTTATTGATAATTTAGAAAATATGTAGCAACATCCATCACACTACAATATGCTTGAAAAGGTTAAGTAACTGTATTACAATATTAGCCTAGCTAGCTACTGTAGCACTTGTGGGTGGAGTTTCACATGAATCCAAACAGAAAAAGTAATAAAAAACTTACATTTATGGCTCTATAAAAATGATAGAAAAACATTTGAACAGAATAAACATTTGCAACTGAAATCATTTTAGGACGTTGGTAAGATGTTAAAACGAGGGTCCCTGTATTAACGTTTCTTGGTGCATTATTAAGCATTATATAAACAATTAACTAAAGTAATAACAACAGCTTGATATTAATGTTAATATTAGGTAATGCATCAATAAACAGACCCCCCACCCCGTCCTAAGCCTAAAGACACTTAACAGTTAAAAATATTGTGAACGTTAATAAAGAGACCCTTTGTTTATT